TTACAAACAAAACAAAGACTTGAGTACATATAGAGGGAACTGGAACAGGGGAGTCAAAAGAAAACTTTTGTTTTTCTCTTTTTTAACATTGAAATTGTTCTCAGTTATTACTTGGGTAATTGAACTCGTTTAAAGTTTAAAAAAAAAAATCAGAAAAGGCCCCTACACTGGAGGCATTTAGAGTCTAGTGAAAGAGACATTCATCTACACAAAGCACGCACAGGACAGGGGAGCGTGATGGCACCAGGTGCAGTGAATATGGGGGAGGAACAACTTGTTCTTCCTGGGCCAGCAGAAAAGGACTCATGGTGGGGGTGGTCATTTGGTGTCAGACTCCAATGACAGGTAGGTATTTATCTGCGGGAAGGCTAGTCTAGGCCCTAGAGACCACACCATTCAAACTCCTCAGCTGCAATATATCTAAAACACACTTAGCTCAAATAATACCATGAAATATGAGGGAGGAAGAAGTCTTAAAGACCCCTTTTAAAACACTTGATAAAATAACCAAACTAATGTCAAGAAATGCTAAAGCTCTAAAGCTTATTATATGCACACACAAAGTGATCTAAAGCAGAGGTGGGGTGTATGCCAGACCCCACAAGCATTTCATACAGTTCGGTTTAGCCTAACAACATGACGGTGTAGAATTCCTTGGAGGATCCACTGAATGAGTAAGAATGATTTTTCACCAGCATGCTTTTTAAATGTCCGTATATACATCTGTAGTGCTTGAGGGGGACTGAGACATTTGTTCTCTTTCATTCTTCCATGCATTTGAGCTTACACTATTAATTTGCTCAGCAAACCATTTTATTCTTGGCTAGAGCAAAAGAAGCTTTAACTCAACTGTTGTCTGAAATTCAAATGGGTAGGATTTAAATGAGAGGGTACACCATACAATCAAGATATTTATCTAGTCAACTCTTAGTTAGCACCCTAAATAGAGGAGGAGGAGTGTTCACAGAGAGTGAACTGACAGTGAATTTTTATTTTCATCATCTCATTTGCCTTTCATATTTTGTTTTCTTTAGGTGAACAAGTTCACAGTCCAGAGTTCCTCGCTGGCTAAAATAACAGATAAAAATAGCCAGGTTACGAGGTCTAACCTTCCCAAGGGACCACATTACAGCTACAATTGCTCACGGTAACCTGTGAGCTCCTTACTGCCCCCCACATCTCCAAGGCTGGCAAGAAAATGCCAGATCCCAGGCTACAATGCAAGGTCATTTTCAAGAACAAATTGTTCAAAACAATAAGTTAACAGATCATTTCTATGATTTTACCTCCCTGGAATTGCGGTGATGGTGGCCTGGAGCATGTATTGTAGTTGATAGGAGACATCTGAGTCTCTTACTCAGTTCTGAACTCAGGACCATCTTTCAGGATTTCAAATGAAGTTGCCTTCTCCTGTACTCTCCTGTACTTTATCTTAAAAAGCAGAACATATCACATCATTCTCTCATTGTCCTCTTCAAAATCCTTGGATGGTCTCTCATTGGCTGCAGGATAAAAAGTAAACTTGTCTGCATTCCATTCAAACATGTAGCCCTAGTTGCCTTTCTTTTCTTTCTTTTTTCTTTTTTTTTTTTTTTTAAATAAGGTCTTGCTCAGTTGTCCAGGCTGGAGTGCAGTGGCGCAATCTCAGCTCACTGCAGCCTCCACCTCCTAGGCTCAAGCAATTATCCTTCCTCCACCTCCAGAATAACTGGGACTACAGGTCCGAGCCTCCAGGCCTGGCTAATTTTTTTATTTTTTGTAGAGACAGGGATCCTGCTATGTTGCCCAAACTGATCTTGAACTCCTGACCTCAAGTGATCTACCCACTTCGGCCTCCCTAGGTGTTGGCATTGTAGGTATGAGCCACTGCGCCTGGCCTCCTCATTGGTTTTCTAGATTCACCTTTTACTGTTTCAAGCCTCCCCACACCTTATGTTCCAATCCATGTGGCTTCATGCTCTTGCCAATTGTATTAGTCCATTTTCACACTGCTGATAAAGACATACTGGCTGGGTGTGGTGGCTCACACCTGTAATCCCAGCACTTTGAGAGGCTGAGGAGGGTGAATCACCTGAGGTCAGGAGTTTGAGACCAGCCTGATCAACATGGTGAAACCCCATCTCTACTAAAAATACAAAAATTAGCTGGGCATGGTGGTAGGTGCCTGTAATCCCAGCTACTTGGGAGGCTGAGGCAGGAGAATTGCTTGAATCCAGGAGGTGGAGGCTGTAGTGAACCAAGATTGTGCCGTTGCACTCCAGCCTGGGCAACAAGAGCAAAACTCCATCTCAAAAAAAAAAAAAAAAAAATACCGAGACTCAGTAATTTATAAAGAAAAAGAGGTTTAGTGGACTCACAGTTCCAGGTGGCTGGGAAGGCCTCACTAACATGGCAGAAGGCCAAAGACATGTCTTTCATGGCAGCAGACAAGAGCAAATGAGAGCCATGTGAAAGAGGAGACTCCTTATAAAACCATCAGATCTCATGAGACTTATCCACCACCATGAGAACCGTATGGGGGAAACCACCATCGTTATTCAATTATCTCCCACATGGGAATTATGGGAGCTATAATTCAAGATGAGATTTGAGTGGGGACACAGCCAAACCATATCAGTGATCATGCTGTATGTAGTCCCATGCACCCTCCCCAGTGGTTGCTTAGGTTGTTCCCAAGGGGGAGGTTTACTTGCCTTCCTCCCCTTCCTGCATTAAACTGAGGCACTGGATCCCCCAGTTGATTGCCAAAACCTCCCTTGAGCCCTTTTTTTTCTGACTCATTACATGATTACGTATTTCTCTATCACCCTAGAACATACATATAACGAGGCCAGGAAAAATATTATAAATTTCTTGAAGATCTCACCTCTCACTTCTGATCACCACTATTGCCCCTACACACACACATACACACACACACACACAGTCACACACATAGTAGTCACTCAATAAGTATTGAAAGAATTAATGTGTATTAGGGTCAAACACGATAGCACAGCAAGGAGACCAGTGCTCTTGCAATTCTGCTAAGGAGAAAAGGTGACAGGAGCCAGGATTTGGAGTTGGAGAGGTCTGGGTTCAAATATGTGCTCTGGCATACACTAGCTGTGAACTTCAGGCCAGGTACTGAGCATCTCTGTGCTGTGGTTTCCTCATTTGTCAAATGAGAATGAGAATACCTTCCTTCATGACCATAGTGTAATGACATGATATGTTCAAAGCCCTTAGCACAGTAACTGGTATTAAGTAAGCACTATGCGCACTAGCTATTATTATTTTTGTTTCTTGTCTTTTCTTTCTTTCTTTTTTCTTGAGACAGGGTCTCACTCTGTTGCCAGGCTGGCACACAATGGCATGATCTCAGCTCACCGCAGCCTTGACCTCCCAGGTTCAAGTGATCTTTCCACTTCTGCCTCCCAAGTAATTGGGACTACAGGTACATGTCACCATGCCTGGCTAATTTTTTTTGTATTTGTAGAGACAGTGTTTTTTAATGCTGCCCAGGCTGGTCTCAAATTCCTGGGATCAAGCAATCCTCCCAAAGCACTGGGATTACAGGCTTGACCCACCACACCCAGCCAGCTATTATAATTAACATTATTTTTGGCTGAGAGTGGTGTCTCATGCCTGTAATCCCAGAGCTTTGGGAGGCCCAGGCAGGAGGATCACTTGATGCCGGGAGTTTGAGGCCAGCCTGGGCAACATAGCAAGACCCTATGTCTACCAAAAATTTAAAAATTAGCCAGGCATATGGGCATGTGCCTATAGTTCTAGCTACTCAAGAGGCTCAGGGAGGAGGATCACTGAAGCCCAGGAGTTCAAGGCTGTGCTGATCTATGATTGCACCACTGCACTCCAGCCTGTGTGACAGAGCAAGATTCTGAATCTAATAAATAGGTAAATATGTAAATAAGTTTAAAAGCATTATTTTTACCATATAATTCTTGTTGGCACAGGCTAGTCCCTTCTCCTCCTATTGGCCTTGTTTTTGCCATTTCACTGTAATAATGGTTCAAACCTCTCAGGATAATCTCCAGGGTTACACTTTACTTTAAAATCTAAGAAAAGAAAAATGATTATTTAGAAATATTTAGCACTGGACATGGCGGCACGCACCTGTAGCCCCAGCTACTCCAGGGATCGAGGAGGGAGGATTTTATGAGCTCAGGAGTTGAAAGCAGCCTGAGCAACATAGTGAAATCATATATATATATATTTTTTAAAGTAGTAGTAGGCAAGTGTTAGGCTATCCCAGTCCCATTCTGATTTTACTTACCATATGCCTACCTCAAGCAATACATCCCCATCATCAAAATGGGATCTCCTGAAGTAAACGAAAATTAATAGTAATCTCTAAATAAAAATATTACTTTTCTAAATAATAGTACTTTCTAAATACTTTGCTTACACTGTACGTTGCAGTGGACTTAGAGTACCCATTTTGTAAACACCCAAGGGTTTCTGTTATTTTACATAAGGTTTGACATCCGATTCGAAACCGAGACAGGGTGGGAACTTTGTCAAGTTCAAGTCATCTCTGCAGCACCGCTGCTTTGCCCTGTTTTTAATGAGCTGGCGTCCTCCTTTTGAGACAGACTGAAGTGAACTTGGATCAGACCCTTAGTCCTGAAACAATACGCCCTACCTTTGTTGAAGCCCAAAGAGCTTTTCTGTGCAAAGGCCAGTGTGTTTTAACAAATGGCATTCCGCACATTTTCTCTACCAAGGCTCCAGCCTCAGCGGGATTCCACTGCATTCTTGGCAGTCCGGCTCCTTTCCTCTGGCAGGGGGTCAGCCTGGGGCCACTGGGGTCAAGGAACCTCCACGGGCTGCCTCTGCCTCCTAGGCAGACAATGTAAGCCCCCACCGCAGCACTTCCTGCTTCAGCAGCCTGGGCTTGTGAGTGCTCAACTACCCAGTGAGAGGGGCTCCTAGGCTGTGGAGGAGGGGACAGCCCAGGCTGCACCGGAGGTACAAAGAAGGAAACAGAGAGGGGCAGAATTCTATTTTATTTCATGTTTCTTAGGAGGGGCCTTTGGGAAGGGGCTGAGAGGGTTAGCCTTCCTTTGGAAGCTTTTGTAAAAAACCCCAGGTGGTGGGTTATGCACGATACTGTCCCATGGTCCCGATCGCAGGTGACCTCCTTGTTAGTCTTTCATGGCCATCAAAAGGCCTCTGGCAGGAAGGAAATAGTATGAACAGTGCTTATATTTGGGTAGAGAGATGATGGGTGACTTTCCTCTTCTTTCTTACATTCCCTGTAATTTTTCGTTTATTTTAATCATTGCTTGCGGGATGTCAGTTAACAGCCCACCCTTAAAGTCTTGGTCCCATTGCTGCAGCCTGTGTGTGGAATAAAAAAAATACAAAATGAAACAGATAGAAAGAGAGAAAGAAACAAAGAAAGAAACAAGAAAGAAAGAAAAGAAAATTCCCACCGGTAAGAGTCGGGATAAGGGATCGATTTCCAGAAGGCCTCTTTTAAAACGCATACATGTATATGGAATGAGCTGGGGTGCAGATGAGGAGTGAGGGGAGGTGTAGCACAGGGACCCATTAGCACCCATTGGTTTCTTTTTCGTTTTTATTTTGTTGTTGTTGTTTTTGAGACAGTCTCACTCTATCGCCCAGGCTGAAGTACAAGGGAGTGATCTCAGCTCACTGCAGCCTCCACCTCCCGGGTTCAAGCAATTCTCCTGCCTCAGCCTCCTGAGTAGCTGCGACTACAGGCGCCTGCCACCACACCTGGCTAATTTTTGTATTTTTAGTAAAGACAGGTCTTTGCCATGTTGGCCAGGCTGGTCTCGAACTCCTGACCTCAAGTGATCCACCTGCCTCGGTCTCCCAAAGTGCTGGGATTACAAGTGTGAGCCACCAGGCCTGGCCAGCACCCATTAGTTTCTTACCAGGGATTATTTTGTCTGGTTTGCAAGCTTGGGAGAGTGGGCCCTGATGCCGCAGGCCACAAGATAGAACACATTGGTTTGTGTGGGGCTCAGAAAGTGCCTCTGAAGAGGCTGTGGAAGGTAAAAGGCAAAGCATATGAGCAAATGCTGTGTGTGCACATGTGCCTGTGTGTCTGCCTGCCTGTCTGTCAAAAGTATGAGAATGTTCACATCATAAAGAAAGGACAGGGGAAAGAGCTGGGATAAGAAGCTGAAGTTTTGTGGAGGAAAGTTTAGGAAGGCAGACCTGAAACGGGAACCTCAGGGCACGGCCTTATTTCCTCATTTGTAAAATGAGCCGGTGAGGCCAGCGCTATCCAACACAGTTGCCCATGACCACATGTGGCTACTGAGCACTTGTGATGTGGCCCGTCTGAATTGAGATGTGTGATAAGTATAAAATACACACTGGTGCCGGGCGCGGTGGCTCACTCCTGTAATCCCAGTACTTTGGGAGGCCAAGGAGGGTGGATCACGAGGTCAAGAGATCGAGACCATCCTGGTCAACATGGTGAAACCCCGTCTCTACTAAAAATACAAAAAATTAGCTGGACACGGTGGCGCTTGCCTGTAATCCCAACTACTCAGGAGGCTAAGGCAGGAGAATTGCCTGAACCCAGGAGGCGGAGGTTGCGGTGAGCGGAGATCGCACCATTGCACTCCAGCCTGGGTAACAAGAGCGGAACTCCGTCTCAAAAAAAAAAAAATACACACTGGTGTTTGGAGAGTTGTTATGAACAAAATAATTTCAAATAGCTCAGTATTAATTATTAAAATATTGATTACATGTTGAAATTATAATATTTTGAATATATTGGGTTAAAGAAAATATGTTACTAAAATTAACTTCACCTGTTTCTTTTTCCCGTTTTAGTCTCACTACTGGAAAACTTAAATTATTATACATGTGGCATGCACTGTATTTATATTGGACAGCACTGGGTTGCACAATCATCTTAGAACTTCTTAAATTTCCCCATTGAAAAATCACTAATAGCTTACCCAAGTACCCCTGAAGTGGGTAGGGGAGGCTGGTTCACAACATAATCTGAAGCATCCTGGCATAAGCATGAAGTTCTGTTGAAATCTCATCTTTTCAGTTTTGAAATGCTTATGTGATTGTTTTGCTACAAAAGTAACAGGTCTAAATTTAAAAAAAAGAAAGAAAGAAACATGATTCTCTCTCTGCCTCCATTCTCCAACTGAACTCTTTAAGTAAAAAGACATAATAATAGTTTTTCTGTTATTTCAAGCCCCACACCCCCTGCCAGCATACTGTCTTGGGGGTCTGCAGACCCCAGTTTGGGAAGCACAGGTGGTGATCTCTAAATGGGCCCTTCCATTTTGCAGTTTCTATTAGAGGCTCCTGAGTTCCTAATTGCCACATGTCCCCTTTTGTGCTGAGGTTCTCACCTTTGCTCCCTCTTACCCCTTAAAGTTCTCAAGGCCCTGGGAGTGGAGTGGGTCCAGCAAAAAGGACTGAGACAGCCTTTCTCTCTCTTTTGTAGCCCCACAGAGCTATGCACACAGGTGCCCCATAAATACTTGTCGTATTGAATAGTTCAGTAACCAGAACTGGGGGCCTAGCCCTCCTCCTGCAGCCAGGCCGCCTCCTGCTGCTGCTAGCAGTGTGAAAAGGTCTTTCAAAATGGTCCTGCTTTGAAAATTAACTAGGGATGAAAGCTGCCTCTGATCCTTTAGGGGAAGCAGATCGACAGCGTAGACATCAAATGATAAATAAGCAAATGAGGTAAGAATTCAATTTGGAACGAGCGGGAATCAGAAATTCATATGGCACTCCATCATCGAAACTCAAAGGTAACCCTTAGGAAAGTTATACCCTAATAAGTGGGGTCAGTCAGGATCAATCACTTGCTAAGCACATTTCACATTTCTCCCCTCCTAATTTTGCATGAACTTCCTTCCCAATGAACTTGGCCATCTCAGGGTGATATCTTTTCCCACTTTAATATTCCTTTTTAGACTCACAATTTTGACTTCCCTTGACTCTCAACGATGCTAACAGCACAGCATTCAGCTCTGGGCCACTCACCATGCTGCAGCCACCACAAGCCTTGGTGCAGACAGATCCCACAGCACATTCTTGAACAGAAACCTTGGAAGTTACAAATATTATTTTCTGGGTCACTTGATGACTGACCTTGACTAAGCCTCCACATGGGGTGCAGTTAAACCACCATCACCAAAGTGCAGCTTTGCTCTCTCAAGGGGTCCGCTCAGATCACCGTGCCCTCCTCCTCCTTCTCCCAGCCCATGAATAATCCGGAGCCAGGAGCTGGTAAACTGCTGGCAGGGTATAGCATGGGGAACTTGGAGTTGTTTACACAAATGGAAAACCAGGCCTCTGTGGTCTCCACTCTTCCTTGGGAGCTCCTCTGATTAGAGAGGCCCAGGGAGCTGCTTCTGAGTACAGAGTGAGACTTACCTTGAGGCTTGGATAAGAAGCCTCTATAAGCATGCTTCCTGGGTCAGAATGAACTCACTCAGCTGTTCTGCAGCTCAGGAAACTCTGAAGGGCTGCCCTGTGGTTTAATGAGCTTCAGTCAGTAAACCTGGCACTGTGGCAAATAGGAGTTTCACAAACACTCAGCCGGTTCCCTGGAGGGAAACAAACTGAAATGCTTCTAGGTCAATATGGCCCCTTTTCTATTAACAGAAAGAAAACTTTAAATTCACAAGAAAACCCAAGTCCCATCAGTGCGGAATGATTGGAAAAAGGCTGTTTGCTTTCTCCTGTGGCCAAGGAAGATGTTGAAGAGTATAACGCAGGAAGTGTCATGGGGTTCATGTTACTTCAATACTTCCCATAGATTGATCTAGGTGTAAGCTTGGTCAGATTTCTGGGAAATCAAGTGCTTCTTCTCTAATCATAGAATATGTGAACTAGAAGTGGTTTTGCTAGCATTGGGCTCAGCTGCTTCATTGCACTTGTAAAGAAATGAAAGCCCAGAGAAAAAGGAATCATTTGCCTATCTCACAGCAAATGGGTGTCACAGACAGAGTGAGAATCCAGCTCTTCCAGCTCAGCAAATATTTAAGACCACTTGCTATGTGCCTCAGGCTGTTCCTAGACACAACAAATAAGGCAGACATGGTCTTTCCTCTCTCGAAACTTCCCATCTCTTTTTTGCAGCTTTGAAATGCAATTTCAATCAAACCTGGCAGAATATTTGGAGCCCGATTTCCGCCAGTAGGTGGGGACTAAAATTAGTCCTGCTGCCCTGTGGCTTTGGCCAGTCTCTGAGCACGTGCATGCTCGTCAAGCTGCACCCTTCCCCTTCAACTTCCCACCACTCATTCGTCATCACATAATTCTTGAGCTACTTCTGTGTGTCAGTTACGGTTCTAGGTACTCACTGGGGCTATAATTGTGAACAAGACAGAAATGGGCTCCTCCTTTATAGAGTTTACAATACAGGGCTCGCTTTACTACTCTCCTACTCTGCCTCTTAAACAGGGCTTTAACACTGGATGCTAACATAGTGCCGTCCATATGCAGAGTTAAGTACATAAGCCAATAATTCCACTGTCATGGAGTTACCCACAGGCCCTTCTCATCACATTTCCCGTGCCCTTCACTTTTTGTAACACCCCCTCTCTTTGCAAATCTGCCCTGGATATTCATTTTAAGCAAATTTGATGAAGGAAGTTATTAAACAAGAGAAACCTACACAGTGTAATTTCCTCCCCTCTCTGCATCTCCCAGGAATAGGCCCTATCACTAATCTCTGTCCCACTCAAGCAGCTAGAGGGTTGGGCTTTTTCTCGAATGGTATGGCCCAGGCCTTCATAATTAGTCCCCAGTCCCATTGCCTGCACCACTCCCAGAGAGAATGGGACTCTGCTGTGAATCTGCCAAAAGGCACATTAGGAGAGGAGCTGTTCCTCTCTCTAGTATGCCTAACTTGTGCCCCAACCATAGATGAAATGACAGGTCAAAGAGGTTGCTGACTGCAGTGAACAGGTGATTCTTTAATTATTTATTTTTGGGTCCCATGCATGCTTAGAACTTCACTGCAAGGTCAAAGCAACAGCCTACACAGAAGTCGGCTAAACATGTAAGAGATGGAAAATGTTGATGGTGGCAACTAAATATAAATGCGCATATGGGTGGATTCCGGAAACTGCAAGGCAGTGCACCTGACGCTGAGCCCTGGCAAAATTCTAGACCATGTGATCAGACAGGTGGCTTTTGCATATTTAGAAAAGAATGTGGAGCCCACAAACTATTGGACTTTAAAAGGTTAAAGAGGAAACCTCTGAGCAGTTCCAGTCAAGGAGGGATGCTTGATGATGAGAAGCAGGGAGAGCCATCGTTAATGTCACCTGGAGGAGGTATTAAATTCAGGTGGTCGTAAAGACAGTGATAGCCCTGAGAATAACAACCTACAGTATGGATTGTATTTTGCAATGGTAAACCTGTACAAAAATGCAAATAACAAGCTAGACTACATTATAGTTAGTTGCTGATACTGACCTTTGTAAAAGTAAATTAAGATGGAGATCGGGCCTGAAGAATCTCTGAGTAGACAAGGCAAGTTAGGCCTCACAACTGAGCTTAATCTTGCTACAGGTGCATATGTAAGCAAAACTTGAGCTACCTCTTGTAAATGTCTATATTAAAGAAAATCAGAATGTAAACTAGACCAATCAGAAAGTCGACAAACTCGGCCAGGTGTGGTGGCTCACACCTGTAATCCCAGCACTTTGGGAGGCTGAGGCAAGGAGATCACGTGAGGCCAGGAGTTCAAGGCTAGCCTGGGCAACACAGTGAGACCTTGTCACTATAAAAAATAAACAAGACTATAAATCGTTCTACTATAAGGACACATGTACACGAATGTTCATTGCAGCACTGTTTACAATAGCAAAGACCTGGAATCAACCCAAATGCCCATTGATAATAGACTGGATTGGAAAAATGTGGCACATATACACCATGGAATATTATGCAGCAATCAGAAATGATGAGTTCGTGTCGTTTGTAGGGACATGGATGAATCTGGAGAACATCATCCTCAGCAAACTGACACAAGAACAGAAAATGAAACACCGCATATTCTCACTCATAGGTGGGTGATGAAAAATGAGAACACATGGACACAGAAAGGGGAGTACTAAACACTGGGGTCTATTGGGGGGAAAAGGGGAGGGCCAGTGGGAGGGGGAGGTGGGGAGGGATAGCCTTGGGAGAAATGCCAAATGTGGGTGAAGGGGAGAAGAAAAGCAAAGCACACTGCCATGTGTGTACCTACGCAACTGTCTTGCATGCTCTGCTCATGTACCCCAAAACCTATAATCCAATAAAAAATTTAAAAAATAAATAAATAAACAAAACATTAGCCAGGCATGGTGGCATGCGCCTGTGGTCCCAGCTACTTGGCAAGTCAAGGCTGCAGCAAGCTGTCATCATGCCAGCCTGGGCGACAGAATAAAACTCTGTCTAAAAAAGAAAAAAAAGAAAGTCAGTCTGGGCATGGTGGCTCATGCCTGTAATCCCAGCACTTTGGGAGGCAGAGACAGGCAGGAGGTCAGAAGTTTGAGACAAGCCTAGCCAACATGGCAAAACCCCGTCTCTACTAAAAATAAAAAAAATTAGCCAGGCAGTCCAGCCTGGGTGAGTGAAACTGTCAAAAAAAAAAAAAAAAAAAAAGGAAGTCAACACACATAATTACATAACTAGAATTTTCCAACAGGATAGATCAAATAAGGCAACTGTATAATTGTTAACCAATCAGAATTTATTTTGCTTTACTTCTGCGTTTGTCCTATTCAAGCCTTCCTCTTGCCTTTCCTTGGTGGAGCTCCTGAGCCACTTCCGGAATGGTTTGCTCAAATAAATTCTTTAAAATATGATTGTGCTTCAGTTTACTTTCTTAATACCTCTAATGACTTTCTCACAAAACAGTATTGAAGCCCCTTCTCCAGATTTTCTGGTCCAGTAAGTACCCTTCTTCTTTTGCATATTCTAAGTTCTGCTGATCTTCTGCGTGTTCTCAATTGTGTTGCCTTTGATGGTACTCCTGTCAAAAAAATGATGACACTTGGGCTGGATAATAATGTTGAAGGAGATTTGCATCAGGTAGACGAACACTGTGCTTATGGAATTCATCAATGGCAGCTTAAGGCTGGAGCAAAGAGTGGGGCTCTCCGGATCTCCAACTCTGTGCCGATGAACATTTGTCAAGGAAAGATGCAAGCAGAGAGTCTCAATCAGATATGCTTATGACTCAAGTGGAGAGGGAGAGCTTGTCCAAATCTATTCACAGAAATACACAAAAACTCCTAACCCATGCCCTTAACCTGAGACATTGGGATATCAAGAGCGGGAAGAATTGACCTGCTCAAATTCCTGCTAGGAAGGGGAGTCCTTGCTGGTTGAAGATCTCTGGCTCTTATCTGCTTGATCTCTACTCCAAAGAAAGAGAGGCATGCACACTTCTATAGCCCCTCTGTTCTCACTCCAAGCAAGCCCTGGGAGAAAACAATGCCACATAGGTATCCATTTCATTCGAAGATCCTGGGAAAATGAAATTCTTCGTAGAGCTCACTTCATGTTAAAGCTGTACATAGCAGTCTCGCTTTGGGTCTAAAGGAAGTCGGTGTAACAAAATACAATTTGAACACAAATATTTTCATTCTTACTATAATTATCTGTTCAATAACAAGACGTTGTTCTCAGGAGATTCTTTAGGTCAATCCTGTCATTGACAAAGCCATTGCTGAGGACGGAGGCAAAGAACAAAGTCACTGCGAACACACAATGCTGGCTTCTCTAAAATGGCCTGACCTTCAGCTGCCTTCCAGCCCCAATACCCTAGATTTATAAAATTTGGATATAACATTCCTCCCTAGTTTTAGAAGGTGGCTTAATAAAATTTCTTGAAGTTTTGTCCTACTCGGCACTTTTTAAAGAACATTCAAGCAACATATTCACTTTGCTTTAGAAAATAATCCATGAACTCACTTTGCTTTTGGAAACTAGTCCATGAATGACGCCTGTCCAAACCAAGAAGCATTGCCGAGTGTGGTTGCAACCTCTTGCTAAGAAAGCAGCAAACTGTATGAATATATTGAATGGACCCACCAGCTTTTCTTTTACGAACTTAGATCATTTGGTCTAGAAAGTCCTTGGATTGAGGACACACAGAAGCATACATTCCCTCCCTCTCTCTCTCTTTCTCTATTCCTCTCTCTTTCCTGGAACTCCTTTTTGAACAGGTGGTAATATTTTTATTCCTGTATTTTATCAGCAACTTATTTGCCATGGCATGAGGAAGGCATTTGTTACAACATTTTTGTGTACACTGATCAGTTACATGGGAAGTTGTGCCTTAAAATACTCTGCCTGGAAAATACTTTCTATGTCCAAGAAAACAAGGTTGGCCTTAGTTTAAATTCTGACTTACAACTGGGTAGGAACAACCTAATTTACCCTGTTGTGAAATCAGAAGTAAATGCAATGCTGCATCTCTCTTTTCAAAGTCTCGGGGAAAAAAAAAACGTAAAAAAAACATGTAATGTGCTACAGTGCCTATACCTGCTATTATGCTACCATTTTTCTTTACTCATTGTTTCTCAAAGTTT